ATGATTTGCTTATTATGATGATGGATGTATCAATAAAGACGTTTTTCTCTACATGAATAAAACGTCACAAGTCTTAATAGAATAGAATAGAATAGAATAGAATAGAATAGAATAGAATAGAATAGAATAGAATAGAATAGAATAGGTGAATTTTAGGTGAATTTTAGGTCTAAGATCAGCAAAGTGACATCAATGTATACATAGATTCACACAATGACAAAAATATTAAAATAAACACAAAGCAAATCAAACTAACTAAATTAAGAATAATATACACTAGAGAAAGTTCTAAATTACAGCACAACGTGTGTTAGTTAGCAAAAATATCAAGTTTACAATCCCAGTCATGGCCTCGCACTTCAATTTTAGTTTTGCCAAACTAAAGGACACAAATTCAGAAATAAAGTATTTAAAGTTGTTTTATTTTATGCTGGGTTTAGAGTTATGGCTTCTTCCTTGCTGAGCGGCCCTCCAGCCTGTAGGTATGGGATGTGGATAACAATCTCTCACCATCTTCAGCCATAATTTTCACTTTCAATCTTTTGTTTTGTATGTTTTAAACAAAATATACTTTCATTTCTGGGTTTTGGAAGAAGCTGGAGTATTAACGTTGTTTGGTTTCATTCATCCTAATTTCACCCCCAGCTAAAACCCATTAGAGGCTATAAGCAATAAGGTTGGCCTGAGAGTGCTTGGACTAGGACAATGTTCAAACAGACTTCTTGTGAGTTGACAAAACACTCCAGGTGAGGGAAACTACAAAATTTCCCATTTGGAAACCAGAACAGTGACACGTTTCTAAGAAAATGCCAAACACCCTGGTAAGTCAGAAGCTCATTATTACAAAGAGGGAAAGTGTGAAATCATCTCTCTTTACATAACTCTTTACCAGTTATGTAAAGAGAGCTGCAGTGTGAAGAACTCCCTGGACTCCAATAGGAAGCAGCAGTTTGTTGGTGCTGATTCAGTCAAAATGGCACCATGATCCACCTCCGTGCAGCAGCATGGCAGATTGCTTGGCGGTGTCTCCTCACACTCGTCTTTTCTTCTCCACATAAAGCGTGGAAGAGGAAAAGTCAGAAACTTATCTAACATAAGAAATTCTAGATATTCCTGTTAGTGTTTTCTTATTATTTGCTTTCCAGATATTTGCATTTTAGTTTGCACTAGTTGAATCATCTACCATCAAGAATACATTTAAAGGGGCAGAATTATGTGTTTTTCTGTCATAAAGTGTTATTTTATAGCACAATCAAGTAACTATGTTGCCTTCAGTTATTATAAAATGCTGTTTATCAAATATAAATTAAAAGAAATTTGACGTTGTAATTTAACCTTGAAATTGTGCCTCTGTCTCTTTAAGAAACTTTTGCTGTTTCTGAAGTCATCACAACATGGCTCCTCTATTTACCCTTTACCGGCGTTTCACTGATAAGTACCTGAGGAGATGTGCAGCTCCACCAGGTGTTTGCTAATTGCTGCTGGCTAGTCTGAAGGAGCTGAGTGAGGGAAGGCTGCTCTGTAATGCAGAAGCTCGAAAGCTTGGAAACTGCAGCTCAGAGGAGCAGCTTCATCCCCAAAGGTGGCACTCTGTCCCACCAAGTGTTTTGCACAGCTTAATGGTTGCCATGGAGATTAAAAGATTTCTTAAACATGCACAAACGAATCAAAGCAACACAAGTATATTTTTGATGGAGTAATACCATTATAGCTAAAAAAGTCAATTTACATAACACTGCCCCTAGAAGATGCCTTTAATATTGATGTTTTTTTTATCTTTAATTTGAATTGTGATTTTAGTCAGAAAAAATGTGAGATCTCTCAAATCATAATTTAATTGCTGATATTGCTGACATATATGTTTCAGATTGTAATTCGTTGTAAATATTGTGAATTGAAACTTCCATGCAACTTAATAGTAAATCTGACATCATTACTCAAAATGTAATCTGAGATATCTCAAATACATCTTTTGTGTAGTCAAAATATAATTAGATATATCTTAATTAACTAATATATCCAGTCTTAAAGTAATTTCAGACACCTGGAATGTAAGTGTGGTGACGGCAATTTGATGTCAAAATGGCCTGCCATACATTTCGGCCGTTCGGGAAACCTCCCGAACCCCCGATGGCCAACGCGCCTCTGAATGAATCCAGCCGCACCAAAGAGTCACAACTGATTTAAAAACATAAAGGATAAAATTCTGTACAGTTCAGAGATGATCCATCTGGAGAAACAAAGACGCAGAAATCACTGAGTTTCTTTGCCTCCCACGTTTCAGAACCAGGAAGCTGCTGCTTTGTGTAGAAAATGCATCTGTCTACTTATAACTCACAGGAGATGAATGCAGTGGGTTTAAGACTGCATTCAGGGCTGTGGGTGGAGAAGTGGAAATGATTGTGTTCCTCAGCATGGAAGCTTTGCAAAGCTGTCAGTTTAGTTACTAATTTAAGATGTTATGTAAATAATGATAAAAAAAACTGAGGGGATTAAGACCAAGAAGACAGAAAGAAAAGAAGAAGAGAAATAACTTTTCTTGTCCCAAAGGGAAACCCAAAGTGACGGCAAAATGGAAGAATCCAGATTCACACAAAGGTTAAAATATAACAGAAAGTGAGCTAATAATACTGGAAAGTAAGAAAAATAATACATCACTTTTAAAGAAATGTCATCTGAAGAACTTTCTCAGGAACCTGAAAAAGAAAAATCCTCTCATCATGAGTTTAAACTTTATGTGGTAAGTTTGACAGGAGCATCACTCAGGACTCATCTGTTGGGTCCAACTGGGTCAAAACGGACCATCACAGCCAGATTAATGACGTCCTGCAGTTGCCAATAGATTGATTTCTAAAACAAATAAGCAAAAGAAAGATTATGTTTTCATTTTTTCAGGCTCAAAAATGTCTTATTGATCTGTTTACCTCTTACCTGCTGTTTCTGGGGAACTTGGAGGCTTTTTGGACTCTGAGGCATTAGACACAGAAATGTTCATTTCTTCTCCTTATTTACTTTTAATTAAGCTGATATTTGACTCATAAAGTATTTATTCTTACTCTTTCATGATAATATTGATTATAATAATTAAAGATACTGACAATGATAGAATAACTGTCAAAGTACTGATCACAATGATAACAATATGATGAAAACATGATCAACATTATTTAAAAATAATTTTTAGGCTGGATGTTTATTTTTAATGAGTGATCGCTGTGGTGGATTAGCCTGCGCTGCTATTAGCTAATCTGACACAGCAGTGGCTGAGAAGCTAATTTAAACATCTGATGGTCATAAATATATTTCAAAGTGAGTCAGAAACACAGGAACCTGAAAGCCAATTTTCCTTCTGCGTTTGTTTTCATCGCTCTTTCTCTTATCGTTTGTTCTCGACAAGTCGCTCATGACTCCATCAGCTGTCACTCTTCATTGGACTTCTTGGATCTTTAGCAAGACTCTCATCAACAAGATGAGACGGAGCAGATGACATGAAAGTGATGACACATTTCTCTCTAGTTTATTGGTCGCTCTCCAGCTAATCCGATGCTCTAATTTCACAGCTTGACTTTTGTTTAAGTTGCAACATTTCTGGCAAGATGTGTAACTCTGCAGAGAACAAGGAGCTCTAAACTAATGACTGATATTTTGGCTTCCACTTGGTGTGTGAGTATGCCTACAAATGTAGATAAAACAACAACAACATAAGGAAAACAGGCAGAAGTTGTTTATGGACGTGTTAGAAACTGATCTGGGTTTATTTCAAATGTAAAGGACATGGAAAGAAAGGAAAATAAAAAAAAATAAGTGGAGAGAAAACATTAAAGAAGTCTGTTTCTACACCTGCAGAAAGAGAGAAAAACCACAGAGAAACTAAAAAGTACACAATGCTAATTAAATCACATTATATTTAGTGGCAATCGCAGCCCAAGACGGAGCGTAAAGACTCGGATCCAAATGGTGTTTTAGCATTTCTCAGCTTATAAGGTCAAATTTTACAACAAATGCTTAAACTTTGAGGACTGATGGCTCTTTATGGGGTCCAAAGTGACAGTAAAAAGAAAAAAAGTTCTGGTTTTGGGTTAGTGATTACATTTAGGACTGTGGTATGAACCGAGTTGAAGTTAGGATTAGAGTATTGCTTTGAAAATGAATGAACAATGAATTGAATATACATTTAAAGGTAAAATAACAATGGTTAAATATTTAGTCCATTTTTATTGTTTTGCATTGGACAAATGTGTAAAGACGTTAAAACTTGTTGTAGTTTAAGAAGTACTAATTGAGCAAATTTCATGAGTTTCATCAATACATTCTGCCACAGATGAAAATGAGCTGCAGAATATTAAAGAAAATGGGTTTAAATTAAAGTGATTTGAATATTTAATTTAATCTGCAGTTCTTACAGTTTTAAGATATTTCTGACCTTCACAATGATGCTGTTTAAAAAAACCCACAGCACAATGAAAAATAAACTAATATTTACAAGAGAAGTGAAAACACAATTTTTACTGTAATCTTTTTTATTACAAAATATAAATGACAAAAAGCTTTTTAAAACTGTGTTGCTAAAACAAAGACAGATGTGACAGACATGAATGAAACTAAGCTTTTTTTTGTTCTTTTTTCAGTTTACATGCTACGGTTTATAATGTACAGGTGAGTGTGCTCCTGCTCAGGTAGAAACTTAAAGACGTGAGTGGAAATGGAGATGTCTTGATCTGAAGGGAAGTCGTAACAGAACATCAGTCTCCAGCACACAAACATTTTCCCTTTTTGTTCAGAGAAATTATTCCACAGTTCTGAAGACAGACAGCGAACTGTAAGTAAGTGTAAATTAAATTTTTTAAATTGTATTCCCTAAAATGCAATAAATTCCTTTAGTGAATTTGATTTGGGTGAAGCTGACAGCAGCCACTTGAGGAGTTTTGGCAAAAACATATTTGCAGACAGAAATGTTTTCACCTTAAAAGCAAAATTTATTTATATTTTATAAAGTTTTGGCTTGATTACTGCTCTAAATATGTTGCTTTTTAAGCAAATAGTCTACTCCAATTAACGATTAATCGATCAGTTGACGGTTATTTCAATAAGAGATTCAACACGATTAATAGTTTCATCCCCAATCAGAAGTGGTTTCATCTAAATAAGTTAAAAGTATTTATGTTTCTTAACTTTATTTAGTAATTTTTGGAATGTGAATCTTTTCCAGACAGTTTTGTTTGGACAGAAAATAAAAACTGTTCCTGTCTGTCTCAGAACTATTTGTGGTACCATTCACACCCTCATTCATCAATCCTCTGTTTGTTTTAGGCACGGATTCAAAGAACAGCTGATTTCCAAATGACAACATTGAAAACAGACGGAAGGACGTCGGATGGTTTCCTCTTTATAAGCAGATCCACTACAGTTCAGTTTAGCGGGGATTGATGGGAATGAGGGCGTCTGAGAAGTTCCGTGTTTTCCGTCACCGTTCTTCAATAAAAACAAACAAAAACCACATGCGTAAAATGGCACCATGTGTGCGTAAAATGTTGCCAGTGGGGAAGGCAGGCGCATCATCTCAGAGGTTTTGGACTCTGCCATGGAGGAATCCCCGGGAAGCTTCACTTCCCCACCTCGTCGAGCACCTTGCGGTTGAGCTGAGCCTGCTCCCGCTGGCTCTCCATCTTGGCCATCTGGATCATATTCCTCAGCAGGTGGAAGGTCAGGTCGATGGAGAGCGGCGGCTCCTCGCTGCGCTTCAGCAGCTGCTCCGCGGTCCGCAGCGCCTCGTCCTCCTCCTCCTCCGCGCCGTCAACTTCCGGCAGCAGCAGGTGGAGGCGGTCCGGGTCCCTCCGCTGGAGCAGCCGCAGCAGGTGGTCGCCCACCAGATCCGAGGCGGCGCCTTCCGTGGCCGCCCTGAGGAGAACATCGTCCACCTGCTGCGTCTGGAGGCGGCTGGTGCCATCCAGCCAGCCGGGGAAAGAGCGCGGTCTGCCGGCGGCGGGGCGGGGGTGTGACGAGAGGAGGACCGAGGAGAGGAGCAGCAGGAGGGGGACCGGCTTCATGTCCTGCAACCGAAAGGAAATTACGATTTTTTTAAATTAGTTTTGAAACTTAAAACATTTGACAGTGTAAACATTTTGGCAAAAATAAAGTAAATAATTTTTTTTACATGACATTTATAAAAAAAATCCTGAAGAGATTTGTCTCAGTTAAAGATAACTATGACCTTTAGATGGATGTAAAAAGCTGCAGAACTCACTTGATTTTCGTCAGTTGATGCAGCTGAACTTTTCAGAGTTGTCTGGTCTGATTCTGGAAAGTCCTGTGAGCCGCGGCTCCAGAGGTCTGCGGGGTTTTATACGTCCAGCCCGCTCCTTTTTGACGTCAATGCAACAACATGCCGCCGTCTTGGAAAGCGGGCAGCTCTAAAAGACGCACAACGATGCGGCAGCTGGCGGAGCGCGGATGGAGCGAGAATATAAGCAGCAGTTTTTACAGCTTTGTTTGTTTTCCGTCTTCTTTTACAAGATGAAGGAAGAAAACGCCAGAATCTTCACTGGCTCCTTTTATTTGGGTTTAACAGCCCGATGTTTGTTAATAAAAAACAAAAAAGATTTATTTGATAAATTTTGCTCCTTCCTTATGCTTTTTGAAGTTTGGTCAAAACATTTGTTTAGCATCCCAAACTATGAATTATCTTTCATTTATGATTTTCAAAAGCTGGCATGAAAAATTCAATTCAAAGTTTAAACCCAACAATGAAGCAAAGAAAGAAAATTAAACTTGGAAAAACATTTTTTCTGTGGATTGAACCAAACTGAGCAGTGAGCTGTCCATGGTGCTGAACCTGCTTCTACATTGGATTTCACATAACAAAAAGGAATATTTTAAAAATCAGATAATTTCACACGAGTTTATTATAAATCAGAGAAACATGAATCACTGTCTCCATTTGGCCACTTAAAATACAACTAAAAACTCAACAATTCTCTGGGCTGGCAGAAATGTTTTTACGCTGAATAATTAGATCTGAAGTTACTGCAAAAACAAAACTTTTATGTAGGTTTTTCCGTCCTTACTGACTTCAAGTGAGCGAACATTAAATATATTTTGTTAATTCGGAACATGAATGTGGAAAAAAGTTGATTTTGTGTCTCTTTGACCTTTTCTGTCTAAATTTGGCCAGAGTTCAACACTGAGCCTTAAAAGGTTTTCAAACTGTCCCTGATGTCCTGCAAGCTACACTGCAAAACCACAAAATCTTATCAGGAATATTTGCTCTTGTTTGTAGTGCAAATATCTTAGTACACTTGAAATAAGATCAAACTAAGGAGAAGCTTTTAATATCTATGGAAAAATAGTTAAAAGTGAAATAATCTCCTTGATTACTTCTAGTATTTTTTGTCAATAAATTAAAATGAGCTATTTCTTGCTGAAAAGTTACTAGTAAGTTAGTTTTGCATCATTTAAAGTATACTAAGACATTTGCACTAGAAGTGAGTCTAAAATAATTAAGATTTTGTGTTTTTGCAGTTTAGAGCTGGACAAATATGTTTTTCTTGATTAAAATGTACTCAAATTAAAAGTTTGGATTCTTCTACATTTTTCAGAGTAAAATCCTGACTGTATTTTTCAAACGGTTTTTAAGACACTTTTTCTGCTCTGCATAACATGCAGAAATAATGATTGGACTGAAAATCAGTGCAAAGGAAGACCAAGTTCAAACAAACACTTCAAACTTCTGACCAAGGCCACATCTGAAGTGTTTGGAAGCAAAATATATAGAAATACTCCAACTTTTGTGCATGGCTGCGTCCAGATGAACTCCGCCCACCCTCCTGTTCAGGTTACTCTGCAACAACACTCCACTCGTTTTATCACCTTGGCTTAATTTGAAAATCACAGGCAGTTGGAGTGCTGCTTCAAAAACCTGCAGCGCTCTGGGTAGAGCTGCTCCCGTCCCTGGAGGGGGTAAAAGAGGCTGTTTGGCGGAGTTTCAATGCATTCGTCAGATGCTCCCCGCTTGCAGATATAGCCTGAGTGTTTGTTAATGTGGCTGCCAGCGAGGCTCAGCAGCCTCCAAAAAACACAACTACTCACCAAAACTAATAAGTTTCCCCTGAAGTTCACTGAGGGTAGACAGTCCACTGGCATTAACGAGCAAACTTTTATGGTTTCAAACATTATGTAGGATTTTTATTTGTTAAAATGTGCACAGTAAATATTCAACGTGTTCCTTAAAGTATGGAAATACCAACCTGGTTCATACTGACTATTGGGGGAAGTTTTTAAGATGATGAGACAATGAAGGTTCACTTGAACTAAACAGATCAAAACCAACATGGTGAAAATATAATTGCTGCCCTCGTTAAATCATCAATTAATTGTAATGAATCAATTTTTTTTGCTACAACCAGGTCTGGCTATCCTCTTACCCGTAGATTCAATAAACCACTGAGGGTGAAAATATTTCAAAAAGCAACAAATTATGCCCTGATCTACAGACATTGAAGTAGAGATGTGAAGAAAAGTCGTCAATATTAATCAGTCTGGACAAAATTAGAAAGTCAATTTCCACAAACGAGGCAAAGTGGTAAACAAACGATTAAAACCAGTCCATAAACACCTGGAAGACTCGTCTAGGAAGGAGAGCCTCAAAAAAGTGTTTCCAGTGCAGTTTTGTGACATAAACCAATTTCAATATTCCTCACCGTAGCACAAGAACTTTTTAATAAAAACCGTTTTTGTTTTTAGAAACTGGCCTGTTTCCATGAAGCAAATTTATTTTCAAAATGTCAAATTGTGCAATTACGTGGTTAATGGGAATGCAGGCGAGATTCTTCCAAATCTAAAGTTAAACCAAAACAAAGAGTAAACCATGATGGATAAGACTTTTAAACATTTAGAAAACAACATTTTGTTCCTGAGGGTTATTAAAATGCTGGCAGGAGAAACCAGAACAAAGTACAACAATGAGTCAGGTGGAGAAGAGTCCAGTAAAGCAAACATGTAAATCAAAAATACATTATGAGTGAAGCTCATCGAGGCGATGAGGAGAACATTCCCTTCATCAACCAGCAGGTGTTAATGTAAGTGTGGCTCCACTGCAGCTCTGCAGCCAAATCCCATTTCCATAAATAAACTTTCACAGACGTTTCTGCAAAAATGCAAGTTTGACTTTCAAGTGCGAATTTGTCACTCAGAGTAGACGAGCAATCCTCCCCGACCTTTTACATGTGATTCAGTCACAGTTTTACACTTTGGAAATATCAGAAGACTAAAGTAAGTTGTGCTCATTTCTCACACACACTCGCAGTCTACAGTACAAATAAGTGTAAAAATCATCATCAACAAGACAAGCTGGACTTGTGAGGTTTCTTCACATCTTGTTGGCCTTCCAGGTCAGGTAGGAGTTCCAGGCGACAGCGACGATCTGGACGACGGCCAGCCTGCAACGAGGAGCAAAAACTGACCATGTGGGAATGCACTTAAACTGGGTTGGTAGATTTAAATTCACTCTAAAAATATCAACTTTTAAATACATTTGCAGATTTAGTATCTTCCAATATGACTGGAAAGAAACAGAAGCATAAGAATCTCACCTGTGATGCAGCGGGACGAAGTAGAAATTAGCAATCTGGACTGGAGGCCACAGCTAAAAAAATTATTAAAACCAGATGAGAATTTATGTTTATAAAGACTAAGTAACCTCAAATTAATTTTCTGCTGATAAACAAAAGACCAGAGGTGGATGGAGTAGCCACAAATGTTACTCAAGTAAAAGTAGTGCTGCTTCAACATATTTTTAAATAAAAAGAAGCTGCCCAAGAAATACGTCAAGTAAGAGTAACAGAACAAAAAATCAATAATTTAATATTTAAAAATTACACAATCAGATGGACCAAAATATAAAGTTAAGTTTAAATTTCGATATTCTAAGGATGAAATAGACAATAATACATCTAAGTAGAAAAAATAACAAAATCAGGTGAAATAAAATGTTTCCAAATCAGTTTCTTTCAATTAAAAAACTTCTGAAACTTTAACAAAATCTGCAGGTCTGTGTCTGTCTGGGGAATCTCTGGTTAAAACATGTTGTTTATTCAGTGGATAGAAAATCCAGGAATTTTACTCTAATAAGAGTAGAAATACCTCATAATAAAATTACCTAAGTAAAAGTAAGAAGTACAACATAGTAAAATACTTTTAAAAATAATTTTTTTTATAAAAAGTTACTAAAGTAAGCGTAACTCAGTAAATGTTACTACTTACCACCCAACCCATGGGATCTTAAAGGTTCCATCTTTATTTATACTATTATATGTATTTATTTATATGGGTGCATTTTGACATTTCCATATAAATTTACTGAAAACTGCATGATGAAACTTTTATTTTTTTTTTACATATTTATTAAAACTGTCATCATGTTGTCATAGCGTAATATAAAACAGATAATCTGTGAAAAAATTCAAGCTCCTCCACTTCCTCGCTGAGCTACGATAGCAATCTGCAAAAATGCATGGCTTTCAGTCAAAAACAATCAGAGCCAGGAGGAGGGTCCTGGCGCTGCCAATCAAGATTGTGTAATAGCTGTTAAATGGGCAAACGGCGGAGAAACAACTTACCATTACAAAGAAACTGTTTATCCGCTGTCATCAATGACTAGCTAACTAGCTTTAGCAACCTGGCAGAATCTGCTGTATAGCAGAAATAAAGGTATGAGAATCATACACAAGCATGATTGACAGCACTAAGACCCTCCTTGTGGCTCTGATTGGTTGTTTGACAAATTTTCTGTTTTCTGTAGTCTGTTTTCTGGAAGAAGGCAGAGAAGCTTTTTTTTAAACAGATTATCTAATGTCACAACAAATATGTTAAAATCATATTTCTTAAAAAAAGTCACAAACTGCAGCTTTAATTGTGCAATGCTTGGCCTAAAACCATCTTAGTGCTGCCCTCCTCAGGTTGAACGGTGCAACTGCAGTTGTTTTTTTTCTAACGTTTACAACTCTACAGCTTCGTTAGTGTCTAAATCAAAGTCCTATGTTTGGGTGTGAAAAAATAATCTCACAACCATGACAGAAAAACCAAAACCAGTTAATTCAACATCAGAAACTTACATAGTAATTAGAGATCAGGGCATCTGTGTAGTCCTGTGAGAAAATAAAAAACATATTATTGTACAGAGAAAAACAAGTAATGCACTGCACTTCAAAATAAAAAAAAAAAGTCCACTAAACTACACAAACACATGTGCATAAAGATATTGACATACAAAAGCAAAGACATAAAATTCAGATACTTCAAGAAATTTATGAAAAAAAAGGATTACATCTGGAATGAATTTAAGCATAGAGGGATTGCTTAAGAAGAAATAAAATATTTTTTATATACAGGGTTGTATTTGTCTCTGAAACTGAGTCTAAAAATGGCTCAAAATGAACTAAATAAATGTAGAGATCATATTTTCTTTACTCTTTTTGTGACACTGATGTGACCTGAATGTTTTTTTTGTCTAATCATTATAACTATTTCATGTGTATGCAATGTATTGTATGAGTTAATGTCATAAAATGAATAAATAAAAAA